TCAGTTCTTGGTGCACAGATGGATATTTAGAGGGCTGCGATTACAATCCCTTTATTAAAGAATAGTTGTGGTGTGTTTGCTATGTATTTGGTAACAAGGTAAGGACAGTGTTAACTTACTGCAATGATTCAAGTGGATTGCTATCTCAAAAACTTCTGCAGCTTTTACATGCATGCAGGCAAATTTGTTTTAACTGTAATGATTTTCAACATTAACTTCAACTAATCAGCATTCTTCATTTAACGTGCTTTTGACTTTAAAAAAGCACTGTGGATCTGCATGTCAGCTCTTCCACCATGTAACCTTTCCTTAAATCGGTTTTATTAAAATGCTTAAATAGATTTGAAAGATGTTTGTTTTTAATTTATTTTTCAATTCTATAGGTTGATGGCGAGAAGAGAATGAGTTTATTCTTAGATCTGAAACCAATACAAAGCTGCCATTCCTGCTGTCTCAATGACTTGTCTCTATGTCATATTTTGTTGTTATGTCTTCTTATGATATAAACTGTAAACTGTGTATTTTTGTCATTTTTAAATGTGGAACATTACTTTTTTTTCCTAAAAAGTGTTGTTGTTTAGTATTTCTCCACTAGGTGGCATTACAGTGTTTCTTATTCATAAGCTGAATTTAGGCCTCATTGGCAGTACAGCAGAGCTTGTAAACAAAAAACTCTTTAAATTCCAGTTCCAGAAAATTATCAAGAACGTCTCTATTGGATGGTATGTTAAATTCCTAAGCAGCCATATTTAATTATGGCTGTAATTTACTAATTTTTAGTAAATATTACATGCACTACACAAATCTCTTGAGAACAGTCTGCATTAACATAAGTGTAAAATTATAAGACGATCATTTCAGACTTTTTTGAGGTTTAAACAGGTCGTTTTAACCCTCAACTATGTACTTTAACATTGCAATTACATTCACAATATTTAATTTGTATTAAGGGGACATAGACAATTCTGTCATCATTTACTCGCCCTAATGTTGAAACCTGTATGATTTTCTTTCTTCCATACAAAATATATTTTTCCAGAATCTCCATGCTGCAGTTATACAATGCCTAAAATCATATGAAAACTGTGGTGTAAGCTATTCTGCAAAAAAAAAAAAAATCTCATTGTATTCCATGGAAGAAGGTTTTGCGTTTATGGCTTTGGATACTCTGCGTTTTGGAAATACAACTGGATGTCTTTTTATGGTATATGATCAATTATTTATTAAACATATTCGTTGACGATATGACCAAGTCAGGCAATATAGGGCAATATAGATTATGATTTGAGTATATTATTCATTGAGATATTTGGACCAGTGTTCTTTCTTTCTTTCTTTCTTTCTTTAATTATTATTGTTTTTATCAGTTTTTTTGTGTGTGTGTGTGTGTATATATATATATATATATATATATATATATATCTATATCATCATTCATTATTCATTCTTACACTCTCAGAAAAAAAGGTACAAAGCTATCATTGGTGTGGTACCCTTTCAAAAAGTAATAATATGTACACTTTATGTACTAACATGTACGTTTAAAGTACTAATATGTACCATTTAGGGGTAAATAAGTTACAAAGATGTACCTTTTAGCTGTACCGACCCAGTGACAGCTTTGTACCTTTTCTGAGAGCGTAGGCTTCTTGTTATTAGCTTAAGACTGATGGTTTGAGTATGTTATTATCTGAGTTTTTATAATTTTGCATTTAAAGCTCCTGTTATTAAAGAGTCAGTTAAAGTGGCGCCTTACGTTTACAAGAAAGAATGTGCTTCCTGTTTTCTCTTCAGTAGTCATCTGAAACATGACCAGCCCTCTCTGTTATTTTCTCTCTCTCCACTTCTCTCTGTTTTCCTCTCCCTGTGTTTTCTTTTGAGGGAAACACATTATTGTTATTAAAGACAGGCACTATTATTTCACATGCTAAAGAGGAGGCAATGGTTGGAGGAGATTTTTTGGTAGTACAGCTGAGCTGTGTTTTCTATTGTTTATTTCGGATAAGAGAAATAATTCTGTTTATTTTGAAATGGGAAGATAGCAGCTGTCCAGCAGATGATTTTCACTCCAAGGTTCTGGTTATTTTCAGTAGTATGGCAGAATCATACATTTCAGGTTCTACTTTTCTGACCTTTTCTTACCCATTTCAAAAGTATTTTAAGCATGTTTTAATTTCCTCATGATCATGTTTGTGGAAGTGTGTTCATGCACAAATCAATAAAAAAAAAAGGCATGAAAAGCAAAAGAGCTCTCATTCTTTTTGTCTGTTACCTTTTTTGTATTCCCATGAGGAGCATCTGTGGCACTCAAGTGAAAACCTTAAAAAAATGTATATTATGACAGTAACGCAGGTTTTAGACTTTGAAAGCACATTCCACAAATATTGGTATCCCATTTATATATTTATTATTATTATTTTACTTTATTTTTAGCACACATGGCAATTTGCCATGTGTGTGTGTGTGCGTGTTTATTTTAACTATTTTATTTCATTGTGATTCCATTTTTAAGAATCTGAAGATTACGAGTCTGTAATGTGGGTAAGTAACTGGTTTAAAAATTCTATGGCTTAAACATGTTTCTATGTACCTGTTTAAAAAAAAAAAAAAAAAAAAACAGTCCTTAACGTTGGGATAACTGTTGGGATAACTTCCCTCCCCCTGGTAGGATAATAAACTGCGTCCTCCAAAACTGTAGTAACAGGAAGTAGGGTACTCGTTTCGTGCGAATCGGTTCTTTCGAACAGTTAAAGCATCAGTTAAACGCGATTCAGTACTGATTCGTCATGGTCCCTGTCATCCCGGCATGGTATGTGCTACTGCATACTCTAAATCGTTAAAATAAAGCCAGTAAGGAACATTTTTCTGTTTAATATGTTATCGATTAAGTTAGATTACAAAGGGTGTAACAGTTATTTTGTCTCAGTGTTCAATTTACTGCAGCCAAGATTCAGCTCATAAAATCAAGTGACAAAATTAACTTAAGCCAGTGTTTGTTAATAAAACTGCCATTTAACTTAGTCATAAACATATTTCCATTGTTTTACCACTGCTATCATTTGAATCATATAACTTTTCGCTCATCAAATGAATGCGATTCGTTTCGAATCGGCATGAAAGTGACCATTCTTGAGTTGTTCTGACAAATTTAGTCCGATTCGTGAACACCAGTTTTGTTCACACGATTCATTGAAAAGATTCGACTCAAAAGAACGATTCGCAAATCGGACATCGCTAAACCAGACCGCCTGCCTGAAGGCTTTAGCCCCTCCTTCTTTATGACCCTCATCTATTCAGCAACCATTTCGAGAGGGTCCTCACTGTAGAACACAAGATCCAGGGGGCGTGGTTGGATCCAGATCCAACTCCTCCCACCCACCGATCTCCACCCCTAAACCTACCAATCTCCACCCCCTAGATGTGGATCCAACCACGCCCCCTGGATCTTGTGTTCCGGGGCATCTGTGTAAAAGAGCTTAGCTAAAATGTGCAGTAGCCCCTCACTGCAGAACACAAGATCCAGGGGGCGTGGTTGGATCCACATCTATGGGGTAGAGATGGGTAGGTTTAGGGGTGGAGACAGGTAGGTTTAGGTATATGTAAGGTGGGAGGAGTTAGATCTGGATCTGACCACGCCCCCTGGATCTTGTGTTTTGCAGTGAGGACCCTCTCAAAATGTGCTGTGGCAGAGCCAGAGGGGCGCTGCACCCCTGACATCTGATTGGCCACCCCAAAATTTTATATGCTACTATTTCATTTTCTTTGTTTAATCGTACTGAAAGAAGCATTTATTTTAGCCTTGAAATTGCACTTCATCTCATGTGGTGTAGGCCTTTGCCACACGATCATTTTCTAAAGGAGTGAAAAACATTTCAGAGCAAAGACTGACAGACAGCAGATTACTTTTGTATATATGAAACAAAGTCTCAGCATTCAATTTCTGTTAGTTTTATGAAGAATTTCAAACGATAAATGTTTTGTGTTTAGTGACGGATCACGTGCTCTCCCGCTTTGCCTCAGTTCAAGCGAAGCAGGAGTGCATTATGATTAGCATTAAATAAACATGAATGAACATCCGAGGTACAGTACAACTCACTGAAAACACTGCTTGAAAACACTGTAACATAACCACAGAAAATCCATTCAGTGTCCATAAACTAGCGAGAAAAATGTACACTAGAGAGGAGAATTTCGCAAAAATTACACACGTAGGCTATTATATTTTTACTCATATAATTACTCTTTTTCATTATAATTAATAAAATGTAGCCTGTAGATATAACGTTATTATAAATTTGGTCTAATATGAACTTGTATACAATCAATTGATAGGCCTACTTTTAACCTGACAGTGTTCCCTATATAGACTACCTTAGTTTAGAAAAATTGAGAAAAAAAATATCATTTAATCACAAGCTTATTAATTATTCCTGAATAGCTAATTCTCACTCAAAAGTTGGCAGCCCTGTTTGAAGTTGAAGTTTTAGGTTTCCTGAACAACATTTACAAAATTCACTGCATAAGTTAATGTTAGATCTTTTGCCCCAATCTCCGGTTAATCAGAGTTAAGTTCCAATAATAGAATTTGAAGTTACAGTAATGTGAAGTAATCAGCAATCGTAGGATTTATTCATGCTTTTTTTATGCCAGGTTGGAGTTATTTGTGAATACATGGTCTATGGACCCCCTGAATTTGACTTGACCACCCCCTGGCTATAAAACACTAGCTCCACCACTGGGTGTCTGTGAGCCTCGCATCCTGTCCCACTCTCACTGAAGCTCAGCATCCATATTTTTCACATCCGTGTGGGAGAGAGAGAGAGAGAGAGAGAGAGAGAGAGAGAGAGAGAGAGAGAGAGAGAGA